TTTGAGGCCACCTGCATTGTAAAACAATAATTGCCTTATTAAATAATCCCTGTTGCCACTATTTCTATTTCTGAATGCTTCCACGCCAACCCAACAATACTGACTGTTCGGCAGAGCCATAAATAAACTTCTCTGTTCAGTCTTGTAAGTAAAAGTCTGAATAATGTTGCTATGCCGAATTAGTCTAACAGGTACCTGAAAAAAAACGTTTACACTTATGGACGCTCTGTTAGGAACTCAATTTCACCGTAACATGAAGCTGTTTTTTTTTAACATTATTATGGGAGTCATGTGACACAGCTGTCCTTCATTCTTTGTTTCAAATAGAATCTCGTCTTGTCATATTATCTGAAGGTATCTGTCTCTCTCTGCAAAACGGCCACGGCGTCTGAAAGACCCCACTGGCGGGACTCCATTTTGGCTCCAGTCACTGAGTGTCTTGTCTTGTAGACGTGCATGAAGTATTTCTCTTTTGACTGTAATTATTAGTTTGATATATGATATGGATACAGAGTCTGTTTTCTTTTTGTTATACATGCTATGCCAGATTTAGAGACAAATATTTATGGGTTACTTTATATATTCATTTATATATGTAGTGTGATTAGAATGTTTGTAAATAGGTCCCAGTTATTCAGCCATTGATCAATACTTTAAAAATGGCACAGTTCTAACCAAACCTTAACAGTGATGTCATCGTTACCCAACCCCCCCACATGGGGCTTTCCCTCCCCCACTAGCATTGTCTCCTCTCACTGATACTATAGTAAATCACAGACAAGCAGGTATATTTACTAAAGATGTCCCCACCCATTAAAGCACACACTGTATACCGATTCATCTTGTATCTGTACATTCCAGTTTCTCAGGGGAAACTCGAGGTATCTCACTTTTAGGTCAATAAAGGATCATTTGTTGCCTAAAATACACCTAATTACTGGTATCACGTGAATGAATTACCTTAAATATGAGCCATAACATTAAACTAAATATTCACTTGAGTCATTTGCAAAATAGCTGAGATGGTTAATAGATGTCAAGATAGACCTGGCATCTTATAGGAATCAGACAAAGGTGAGACTTGAAGTCTCTGCAGAGAATTATTTTTAAATTACTATGTATCTTCTGTGAGATTAATGTGAATTACAGCATTAAATCCCATCTTTTGTTCTACTTATTAAATTGTAGCCTAGATGGAAAAAATGCAGAATGACAAAATTCTGCAATTTTGTTCTTCTGTTATCTTCATCCTTCTTCCAGATTTGAGTAGGATCGTTCTACCTACTCACACACAAATTCAGCAGGAGGCCACCGCAGCCGGCTTTACATCTCATTATCCTGCCTAGTTAAGAGTATGGCACAAAAATAACGAAGCAAAATAGAATATAATAGTGCTCTGATGTAACAAAGCATGTTCATTGAAGCTGTACATAAGAACACAAGAAATTTACAAAAGACAGGAGGCCATTCGGCCCATCAAGCTCGTTTGAGGAGAACTTAACTGTAATTCAGGTCCTTTCTCTGTTTACTCTTGCCTGTGTGTGGATAATAGAGGAGGCTGTAAGCAAACGTAGCCCTTCATGCAGCTAATAGCATTTGAAGAAGAAATCAAAGATCCTTTGAAATCATTTCAATAAATCTATAATGATTGGGTGGTATCTTCAGTGTGAGGTGAGTTCGGTTATAACAAAGAATGACTTGTTACAAAGAAATTTAAATAAACAGCACAGCTTAGCATTGTTATCCTAGAAGCTCTGGGCCTGGACCTCCTCTGTTCTTCTCCATCATCAAAATCGCCCTCACTCCCGTAATGGGCTTTGCGGCGTGACGACAGCTCCTTTCACATCCCGGCTTCAAAGAGAGCGGAGGTGCCCGCACACTGGCCTGTAGCGAGTATGAAGCTGAAGCGCAGACGCATGAATGCGAGCCGGCCTTTTGGGGGCCCTGTACCCAGCAGCCTTTGCGACATTCGCAGGGCTTCTCACTGAAATGCTGCCAGTGCTTAGCAGATTCTCCAAAGACGCATTTCAAAGCACGATTATGACACGCTGTTCAGGTTAATTACAATTATTACTTCTGTGAAAACTGGCAACCATTTGACAAAATGGTTAATTTTGTCAAATTTTAGATGTATAAACCTGGGATAATGACATGATTTATATAAGTAATATAACAGTGGGTGTCTCAGTGGGAAGCACGGCGGTGTCTCTCCTGCTGAGTGCCTCAGTGCCTCGCACCCTGTGCTTCCGGGGATGGGCCTCGGGCTCTCTGTGGATCTGTAGTGCAGTGTTTCCCAATGCAGTCCTCAGGGACCCACACAAGGACTGTCTCTGGGTCCCCAAGGACCGGACAGGAAGATACTCTTGTAGTAGATAAGCTGCTATGAAAGGTGGATGGATGCTCTGCAGCTTGGTGAGCTTCAGAGGTGCTACAGTGGAGGGGCGGGGGGGGGGGGGGGGGGAGCTAAACATTGGTTGAAAAATCACAGTTTCTATACCAGACTGTTGACATATGGACATTTTTTCCCACAACACACATACTAGAAAGTTTTTGCACTTTTTAGAAGTATATGCAATTTCCTAATGCATACTTACTGGAATCATTTAACTAGGTTACATTTTTTTTTTACTCTGTTCACATTACTCAAGTGATTTGCATACTGACAGTAAAATGTACTCTCTGTAGGTACTCTCTGTACCTACAGAGAGATAATGGGTCTTGTGAACCACACCAACCATGTCTCCTCCCACTAGCCAAACGTGACAATTTGGTAAATGTGAACGGAATGAAGGACAATGAAAGAACAGGGTAGGGCTCGCTTGAGCCGGTGGTGACTAGTGCAGCCTAACCACTTCCCTCCCCACTAAGAAAAGAAACTTACCCCCCCCCCCCCCCCCAGCCCCTAAAATGGAACAACCCAGCAGGCGTCCCTGCCATTGTCTATACGGGACTTAATTCAACTCACTTTGGTGCCCTGAACGTGACTGCTGGTGCTCAGGACGTACGTGGAATGTTCAGCAGATTCTGACCGCTGCAGGTTCCCCTGTCCAGGCTGTGCTCTCATTTTCCTGATAAATACTGTAATTACCGTAATTACAGTGAATTACCGTAAGTACCGTAAGTACTGATAAGTACTGTAATTGTCTCTTTAAAACACCAAGCATATACAATTCCTCCAGGGAAAGACATCCAAAGTGCCAGATACACATGACTTTTTAGAAGTAAAATTACATAAATATAATCCAAATGTATATGCATACATTCACAAGTCCTTGCCTTTTCTTAATGAATGTCTTAATAAATAATATTATCATAAGTAGCCGTTCAGGTTCTGCATGTCTGATAGGCTGTTACTGTATCACTTCCTCTGAGCTCTTAAATAAATGCTTAACAGTAAAATCTCCCTTTACTATTTATAGTTTACATAACAGTCTGAATGTGATATTAATATTCTGAATTATTCAATGTCCCGGGTTAAGCAGCTTATTTATACAAAGCCACCCAATGCAGCCGCAGGTGTTTGGCATCTTTTTCAGCAACAGACATTTCTGATCTTTGTGAAATTTGCATAGTTGTCATAAGTGACAAGATATTATAAATTCATTATTCATTTCATTGGCCAATTTACTTAAAGCTCATATTAACTACATCTATATTTATCTTTCAATGCAGCTAATTTTGCTAAATTCAACTAAATAAAATTGCTAAATTACATTCCAGTTATAAGAGCTGGAATTGCGATGGCAATGTGGCAATTCTGAAGACTAAGGAAAAAGAAATGTACGTGATGTAGTGTTCCCCGCCACAATCATCTATGTAAGATTGGAAGAATCGTTTAGATCATTATAAGGATATTTTAGGTTTTATGTTATTCATAATTCTACCAGTCAGGTAATGTTTAGAAAAGGTTAAAGGGTGATAAACTGGAAAGCAGGTTGGACATCAGTCTCACCATGCAGCTCTGATCAGTCAAAACCCAAATATCAGCCATGTGCACAACAGTACAGCTGTGTGCAGCCAAACTCACTTTATCATGGCAGTCTCCCTCACAGTGTGACAGGGCTCAGCTGCAAGTGGCACTCTATTCTGACCCAAAGAGGACACCGTCCATCAAGTCTCTCGTTTGCTAAAACAGCACTTTGACTGGGATGCTCTGCTGGAATGGATCACAAGCCCATAGAGGCGGCACATATCCAGAACTGCATGTCTTTTCCCCTCTCATGTCTTCAGCCTTGTCATGATGTGATCACAGGATCACACCCCTAGTTCCTGCCTTTGAAAATGCCTTAATTAGTAGCCGATGGAGAATCCAAAGATCCACCTTGGCAGAAATAACAGGTGGAACATCCAGTAGAGTCCAGGGTCCTGTGATGATGCAGGTGTTCCTGCTTAGCCGGAAAACTTGTTGGATTTGTGTTACCCCAGTTTAAATGGACTTTATCGTCGTTAACCTACATTTAGACCAGACTATTTAAATCCGACAAGTTATCCAGCTAAGCAAAACATTTGGCTTTGTAATACAGGCTCCTGATCTTGTGCAGCAGTAAAGATCTGCCCTGAAGTTGCATAAATTTCAGAAATTAGCCTTGGACCATCAAAGAGCCTACGGAAGCCCCATGCTGGTTCCTGATGGAGAATCATCACAGATGTCATGGGCGCAGTGCACCCAGAGGAACCAACCTGCCAAAACATTATGTAGATAGCATTGCTGGAAAACAAAATTTAAATATAGTTCAATACTGATTTCAAGACCAATATACCAATATAGGTCTTTTGGCGATTCCAGTTCCTTAGTTAAAAATTATTCCCTGTAAATGGCCTTTAAAATCTTCTGAGGGATAAACAATAAGACCACAACCCAGCCCACAGAGTCAATAAACCCACAATCATGTCTTACATCATTTTGTTTTGAGCTTTTCAGAATCGGCCATGGACCCGTGTAAAACAAACAGTGGCTGAGACATATTTCTCAGTCATAAATGTAAGGTACTATAGGTGGGTTGGTTTTTAACACTTTAATTTAAAAATACTTCAGATGATTTTGGGTATAATGCACATTGATTTTTTGTTATACAGTGTAATGCATTCTCTCTCTCTCTGTCTCTCTAAAGTGCAGAGTAGTGATTGCAACTGTTACAGACCTGGTAAACATATTAGCAGGAATGACACTATTTGTCCTCAAAGTTAATAGTCCCAAAGTGGATTTCAGAGGCAGATTAATATTCATGGCAAACCCAGTATACTAAGTAGGGGAAATAATATCACGTTATACCATCTCAGGCAAATAACATCTACAGACTGTCAGATTCAATGTCATAAAGAACTCCCGTATAATCTGAACACGTGCTGCAAATGGTCAGGTTCAATATGCATTATTTACAATACAAGCAGGGTGGAAAAACAGGAACAAAATTAAAAAATAGCTTAAAACAATAGCTTGCTTTTATTAACGGTACTGTAAGGAATGTTCTACTGATGTATATCACAGTGCTTTTTAAAGCCCCTTTATAAAAATCGTGAAGCTACGTTAATAATCCATGGTTAAGCAGCAAAAAACAGGAGCCAGCCCGTTTTACTGTTTTTTTTCGATAGCCATTGCGAGATTTTGGTCAACTTCAGTGAAAACACCAAACCCTATATACACAGCATCTTGCGTGCAATATTATAGCAGAGCGTTCACAGCATCTCTCTGATCCATCAATAGAAATTAAACGAAATAAATCACTGCAAAGTAAAGATTTATTTAGGGTGCATCAGTGGCATACTCGGACAGCGCTGGATTACAGTACTTGTGTTAAAAGGAAGAATAATACAAAAACTGAAAATAAAAATAAAATTTATAAAAATCTGCCGTTATCGCTTTTTCTTCTGCTTTAAAGACTTTCTGCGTTTGACAATCATCTCGTATAGTTTGTCCATGCCCTCGTGGAGTCCTTCGCCGATAATGGCACAGGCCGGCTGGACGTGGTAGGTGGTGGCCGGCGTGAGCTCATGAAGAGCCAGCTGCTTCTCGATATCGGCCACCGGCAGGGATCTGGGCAGGTCCTGCTTGTTGGCGATCACCAGCAGAGGGGTTCCCTGGTTCTCCGCGAATTTGGTGACTTTGTGCAGCTCGGTCTTGGCCTCCTCTAGGCGGTCCACATCCACCGAGTCCACCACGTAGATGATGCCGTCCGTGCAGCGGCTGTAGGACTTCCACAAAGGTCTCAGCTTCTCCTGGCCCCCCACGTCCCAGAAGTGACAGCTGATCCCCTTGGCGGTGCCGTTGCTCAGCTTGATTTTCTCCGTGTTGAAGCCGATCGTAGGCACCGTGTTCACAAACTCGTTGAATTTCAGACGGTAAAGAACTGTCGTCTTACCGGCAGAGTCCAGACCCAGCATGACAATATGAAGGGACTGAAACGCAGATATATTGGAAAAACTATTCCCCATCTTTTCCACAGTTATTTTAATTATAGATTAATAAAATGATGCTTAGACCATATCAGTGGCTCTTGGTCAAAAGCATCTGTTTGCTGAAATATTCAGTAATCAGAGCAGGTTAAATTCTTCAGCGTTGCGGTTTTCACTTAAACCAAAATGTTGCATGAATCGGTGCATGAAAAACATGCATGTCAGTGGCACGATCACCTCCTCCGGTCCCTCTGCAGCAGTGAAGGACTCTGCCGTGGGAATGCGGTGCCGGCGCTCGCATTAGCATTCTTCGCGCACATCCCACTTAAAATACCATTTCCTTACACCCGGATCCCAATGCATCTGCCGCTCCTGCCCTGCCCCCGTCCACCGAGACTGCCGATCGGGTCCCTCTGGTGTCCGTCAGCTCGGTGCCGCAGCAGACGCAGATCTAGAAACGCATCGCAATCCACCAGATGCCCTGCGGGGACGGTGGGTCCCCCAATTTTGGAAGTAATCCAGAAAAACAACGCAAATTTTAAAGAAGAAAAAGAACAAAACTCCAGGATTTGTTTCAATGTTGCGTAGTCCTATGAAACATCTAAAAACAGTTGTTCAGGTCGCAAGAGCTTCCCTTTCTGCATACATAGTGGCGAAAGGCGTTCAGGCACCGATAGAAAAGCCGGAGGAGCCGCGCAACCCATCTGGAGACCCCGCCCCCATTTGGAGACCCCGCCCCCTATCAGAAGACCCCGCCCACACGGGCCGGCCAAAGCATGGCACTCATTTAACCCTTTCATGCAAAGTGTCTGCATTTTTAGACGGTGTAAAGCTATTTGGAGTAAACATAAGATTATGGTAACCACAGTCGAAAACGGTGAAGTTTCACCTCTGCTCCCAAGAGAAGGAGAACTAAGTCACTACTGCGTATGAAATCTATTATGTTGCGGAGAAACTGACCTAAAGTTTTGCATGAAAGGGTTAAAGCCCGGTTTAGGGAAACCGTGGCACTAAAAACACGATTTGAGCAGGCCGGAGACTGCAGCAGGACTGTAACGGCAGCTCAGCTTGTGACAGAAATGTGATAAATTATGATCTGATATCTGCGTCTCAAGGGGGTCAACAAATTTGTATTTGGCCAAGCTATGCACAACTATGGTAGGTGTAAATTAAAAACTTTGTAGGGTGTAGGGATGGGTAATGCCACTGATTTTCGGTTCGATCCTATACTAAGGTTAGTATCGTCGATACTAATCCTGATAGTAGGACCCGCCCAACCCTGGCGATAAAATGCTGGCAGTGTCCGGACCCCTGAAAGTCTTCCACTTTCTCCCCCCCTATGGGCACCCTGGCAGTAGCTCCATCTTCTAATCCCTATTATAATATAAACACTTACTATTACTTAAAAAATTGCAAATGAACCATTATTCTCTGATGGAAACTGGCAGATACACTTATTAGTAACTTATACTTACTATGAAAGTGGCAAAAAAATATCATTCCTGTCCTGGGTGTCACCTGTCTTGCGTCCTACGCCTTCTTGGATAGGCTAAAGACTCAAATGGGCACAAACAAGCAAGACATTAACTTACAATTGTTTAGTCATATTCATGATGACCTAACAAAATATTGTATACCTGTTCTTGGGCGTTTCCAACACATATACCAACACGTATACGATTTAGTCAAAATGTGCGATATATGATTTGCCTTAGCTAAACTATTTGTGGAATTTGGAAATTAAAGGTCATAATACCCTGCGTGTGCGTTTCTGGTATCGTGCTTGCTGAATTTAATCCAGGGATACTGTTACAATACAGGGATATTATTTTCATTGTGCCGTGTAACAAAAAACAAACATTATTTTTAGGAATTCATTTAATGCTCCGTTGAAAATTGACTGCATGTAACGTTTTCCTACGAAACGGCCATATTCCTGGCGGTATTCTGGCGACCCCTAGTGGACAGACCTGAAACGACCGAATATTAAGCAGATCGAGTCTATTCCGCTGTAATTCGAAATAACTCGACGAAACGGTTTACAAATACTGATCACTATGCATGCGAATACTGCTTTTAAAACAGTATACCCATGTCAGAGATTCACACTTATAAAGATAAAGAAAGAATCATTATTTTCTTATTAACAGATCTGCTGCTACTTGCAATGATATTGCGGCGCTGCATAAATCCCAAAGGCCAAAACATATAATAACAGACATATATGTTTTATGCAAATAGTGTGTTAAGCATATATAAATTAACAATACAATACAAGCCCAAAAGAGCACATAGATTCAATGTTTACAAGCGCAAAGTACATTTTATCATATTAAGATGATTTCACAGACCCCCAAAACTTGAAAGACCTTTTATGCTCATAACAGCTTATATCTGTGTATTTTTCTAACAGACAAGACGCAACAATGCCACGATTATGGCGTGCATTTATGAAAATCGTATGGTTTATGTCTGCGGACGTGGAAATGTTTTGCTTCGCTTCCTGCATTTCGCCGGAATTGTTGGCTCTGAAGATAACTGCTTATTGATATTGCAGTATTCACCTTTACAAGATATAGTGATGTGTTTCTTACCTTAGTCTCCCCAGCCGTGACTCCCCCACCCCCGCGATTTTTATCGTGACATTTGAAAGTGTGACTTGGTGTACATTATCATCTCATCTGAGCTAGCCAAAGGGTTTATAAGCTGGCAGATGTTCACCCACTGGTACGAATTTACCTAGTCATAAATATACCAACTCGACAAACAGGATGTGTGCCGAGACTTCAGTCCTCATAAAGTCAGGAAGTAAGGAAAGTTACACCCCCCACCATTTTGGAATCGCTAATTATTCAGCTTCTCAGAGGCCTTCCCACGCAATCCTTTGAGGGGGCGCCGGCGAGCACATTCCGCCTCTGATGTGCGCGCTGTCAGACACCTGCCGGTTTTTCGCTCCACACGCTGGAGGCTCCACACTTGAAAGGGAAGCTTTCCAGCTAACTCGAGGAACACAAGCTGATTCACATTCCTATGGGTGCCTTGCCTTCCAAATGGGGGCTGTGGCATTGAATGTGTATCTGTTTTACTACCTGGGCAACTAGGTATGTCCCAAAATTACCCCACGAAAACAGCATGATCAGAGAGATATGTCCTCACCTGTTTTCTGCTGACAGTATTTTTGTTAGATTTATATGATTAAATTACAGTTTTTCTGAACTGCTAATACACATTTCCTATAAGATCTCCTCTATTCTCAAAACACTAAGCACAGACCCTAACATTCAAGCTACACTCACAAAACCATTGACTCGTCTTGCAAAATCAAACTATCTTCTCAAAACTATGTTATCTTTGCTGAAAAGCAAGCACTGCTTTCAGATCACGATTCAAACCGGACAGGTGAATAGACACTACTGAACAGACATTACACACTACAGCAAAAAGCTCAGAACACTACCAGTCAAAATTGTTGCTGGCATGTAGAGAAACGTTTACTGTGCATGTGAGCTTCTGCATGTTGAGCTGCAAAATTGGAAGCTCAAGACTATAGAAAAAAAAAATGTCTACCAAATGTGTTTGTACACAATTATACTAAACCGATATGTAATATTTGTAGTAAAATGTTGTGCAACTGCCAAGCCTGAGCCTCATTACCACTGGGCAGAGTGGAGGCTCTCGTGCTGGGGATCTGTGCCAGCAGCTGGAAGGTTGCTGGTTTGAATGCCGGGAGTGATTTTACTCCATGAAGCCCTTAACCTGCAATTGCTTTGTCCTGGGTATGATGTTAACCTACATCCAGCCCTATAAGGAGGTCCTCCAACTTACAGGGAAAAACTTGGAGGTTGGTGGCAGGATTGGCACTCTATTACCAGAAAAAAAAACTCATACTGGTCTATTTGGACTAGTGTGGTGCTGAGGTATCACCTGCCACACGGCTGCACTCAGGTTCTCATCCCTGAGGTGGTTTGTCGTGTGGTGGGTGTGGCTGTGCGCTGTAATCAGTGCACGCTCCATACCTCCCTCTCTCTCATCACCGTGTCTCAAGGCTGAGTCAGGACAGAGAACTTTGTCCGCATCACAGGAAATGCTCTCCCTTGCTGGCGATGCGGGAAGAATCCTCTGCAGGACCCATTTGTACCTTGACGGCAAAATTCAACTCACCTATGGCGCTTGCACTCTCATCCGGTATGTATTGTATGTTCTAGTCACTCTTTGGCTTCTACATATGTTTAGAAACACGTGTGAACATTTGTAGGTGATTTTGTTTAAATGATGACTACTGTCTGCTGGCTCTGCTTCACTTTTATGACCCGTGTTTTCACCATGGTGTTCAATGAATGAGAATGTGTTTAGAGTGACTCAGGTGACCCAGATCTGCAAATTACATCTAACTAGGTGAGCACTGTCTAACGTTTTGGAGTGACTGAATTTTGGTAATTGGCAGTTTTGTTCAAAGAATGGGGCTTAGTGTTTTAGCAATTCAGAAATACTGTAGGTATTCATATACGCGATGGTAATAAATTACTAAATAATAAATATTCCATAGTGACTAAAAGTTTAATTAATATAATATCCAAAGCATATGTAAAGATTCAGTAAAACTGGTTTCCTCTTAAAAGGTCATTCATCTCATGGATTCCCTGATCAGATATGACAGCTTGTTTTCGATGCTCTTTAGAGGCCAAAACATCTGTGGAATTAATGCTCATCATCACTGATTAACTGAACAATAACTACCAGTATGACACACATCTATGGGCATCAAATGACAGAAGCAAGCAAAACTATGCAGGATTAGCAATAAACAGATTCTGGTGCCTGCAAACCAAGGTGAATTGTGAAGGTGAATATATACGTGTGACTCACTAGATGGCAGTAGAGCACCAGAGAAACTCTCCTTTTTAAAACAATCATGTTATTGGCCATTGTAAACTTTTCAATCAATACAAAATTCCAAGTATATGGAATAACATTTTTTTTTTTTTAAATCACACTTAAGGCAAAAACGATGATGCAAACAATGATCCTTTAAATTAATGGAGGATGAAAATGTTCACAGAGAGCACAATGCGTACAGAAAGAACAACTTTAAATGACAAATTTAAATAGTAAAAGCTGAACAATGGTAGGACAGAATGTGTAAGAGAGAGACATATTAGCCAAACTGTGGCTCATTTCCTTGCAGGATAAAGAGGCTAATTTTTAATGTCCAGCCTGACAGGAAAATATGACATGTGGTCTGAGCCAGGCCTGCTGGGTAACTGAAGCTGGGATGCCCAGGGCGTCGGGACGAAATTAGATGGGGGGAGGGGGGGTGCAGTGGAGTAGCGGAAGAGCGAACAAAAGCTAAGGTTCCGGCTATTTTCAAACACTCAGAGTAAGAAGGAAACCAGAAGATTCCCAGAGGGACAACAGAGCTTTACACTGTCTGACAATCGCTGGAAAGGGGTGGGGGGGTTATTAACCCATTTCGGGGAGATCAAAGTACACAAAGTACACTACCTGTGTCCCTCAAAGAAAATAAATCGTCTGAGCCGTGACCCTATCAGCAATCTAATCGACATCCTTACGTTTGCGGGTTTATGTATAGAAAATAATCGCCTCGGAACCTCACTCAGTGTTCTGAATCCATCCAGCCGACACAAAAATCATACTGACAACTCGTGGGGGGTGGGGTGAGGTACTC